ACTTATGAATAATTATTAGAAAGATTAGACATAAATGTCCAAATTTAGAACTACTATACATATGTTACAGGAATCATCAAGAAGATAAATATTTAATGGAAATATTTAATAATTGCTTCAAATTAAAACATATCACATTTACTAATATCTTTGTGTACGATTATACATTGAATGGTGATAAAATATTGGCTGTTTTAAACCAATCATTACCAAAAAACTTGAATACATTAATTTTTAAAGTTAAGGTTGATATTTCTAAAGACGAGTCTTTAGATAGTTTGATGAAGAATTGGAGAGGTCCTAGACCATTTAAAATACTCAGTGTTCGTGGAAGTATTGATTTATTAAAAAAATATCAAGATTTAGGTTTTTTATTATAATTGATAGTATATTATTGTTGGCTATCAGGATCTGCATAAGATTAGTGCACTATTTTCAAGTGACAAATATAAAAAAATAAAATAAAAATTGCAGGCTCCCGTGTGGGTACTTCTTCTACTACTAATGCTACTTCTTCTACTAATGCTACTTCTCCTACTAATGCTACTTCTACTAATGCTATTTCACTATTAAAATTTTTAAAATCATGACTCAAGCTTCAAAACTGCTTCCCAAACTTTATTTATTATTGTTGTATGTGCAATCGAAATTATGTGAAATTGAAATCTAATTAAAATTTTGGTTTTGATATGAAATTCTGATTGGCTAATTTGCAATTCACGTTTTCACGCACAACCAGCATTCATTTGTTCCACAAAATCATAAAATGTTCCCACAAAAAATTTATTTAATTATTGAATGGTATTGAGGAAACTTATATAATAATAGATTAGAAAGTTTAGATAATACATCTGTATTAGGTGGAGATGAAGAAGAGGATGAAAATACTATATATAATGAAGATAATATTAAATTGGAGGGTCTGAAGAATTAATTTTGAAAGGTGATGTAAATCTTGATCAATCTTTAAAAGACAATGTTGACATTTAAACTGTAGATCTTGAAGATTGATAATGATATTCATGACCACAAATTAATATGCAATTATCATCATTGTAGTCATCTGCTATTTCACAATTTTCATAATTACAGCAGGAATCAAAACTGGGCAGATAATTGGTACAATAACCAGTTGGTAATGTAGCTACCTTCATTTCTATGTTGAATGTTGGAAATAAATAGAGTTTGTCATCTAATTTTGGTATTTTTTTAGATGTATTTAGATTAGTTAATATTTTTTGAAAAAATTCAATTAGAAATAAAGCTGACTTCTTAACCATATTATCAAGACTCTTTTTTTTAAATGGGTAATTTTTTTTAGTTATAAATGGATCCATAAAATTTGAATTATGTTTATTGATATCCAAATTAATTGCATCTTTTCTTAAAGTTTCTACATTAAAATTTTGTCAGTTGTATAGTGTCAGATCAAGCTATGAAAATTTTCAACAAAATATCCATTGAATTCTGATAGGTGTTCTTTAAGTGTATTGTAGATGTATTTAGATTAGTTAATATTTTTTGAAAAAATTCAATTAGAAATAAAGCTGACTTCTTAACCATATTATCAAGACTCTTTTTTTTAAATGGGTAATTTTTTTTAGTTATAAATGGATCCATAAAATTTGAATTATGTTTATTGATATCCAAATTAATTGCATCTTTTCTTAAAGTTTCTACATTAAAATTTTGTCAGTTGTATAGTGTCAGATCAAGCTATGAAAATTTTCAACAAAATATCCATTGAATTCTGATAGGTGTTCTTTAAGTGTATTGTACATTGGGTGTTCTATACTTTGCCAATATAAAACATCAGAAAGAAAAGCTAACATTATTTTATTATTTTTTCTTTCAAAACATTCATAATAGACCACAACCAAAAAATTGTTGATATATATTCATCAAAATGACCTTCCTGAAACAAAATTGTATAAACATCCAAACAAGCTGGTATTATATTATCAAATATATCTAAAAAGGTTCTGTACTCAATATCTTTGTTATTTTTAAATTTTCTTAACATTGTTTTTCTAATGATCATCCATCCAGAGTGAGCAAGGTAAAGCAAAAGATCTGTCATCCATGGTTGAGGTTTCTTTGGAAGATTTTTTCTCTTTTTAAAAACTTCTTTATAAAAAATATTAAAAAATTGATAATACATTTTTATAGTGGTTTCTCTTGTATTCAGAGAGACATGCAAAGGACTTAATAAAGGAACCAAATGCAAAATCTTTTCTGGAATATTTGATGAATCACCATATCTCCTTTGAAGAGTAATTGCTTTACAAAGATAATATTGTCCAGGATAATCTGCTGGTACAGGTATTATATTTTCTGATAGATAATCACTGAGTACTGGTGAATTGATAAAAGGGTAGATTGCTTGAAGGTAATTATCCAAAGATTTTAGTTCCTGAGGAATAAAATCAAATAATTTTAATAACTTTAATTTCTTGTGTTCTGGATGGGTGATTTGGAAATCAGGATCATAACTATGAGCTGTTAAAAAATTAATTGTTTCTTCTTCTGTAAATTTTGAAGAATCAGCTATACAGAACCATGATGACTTTTGGTAAATATAACTGATTCTCAACTTTGACATATATTCAAATTGCAATGCCCAGGAAACTAAATCAACATCAACATTCATGTGATTATGCACCTGCTCATCTAATGGTAATATATATGGCAAAGGTAATACATTTGAAGTATAGATCATGGTAGTTGCCATATGAGCAACATTTGATAGATTTTCATCAATTGGAATTCGGGATTGATGGATGTCATGATAATCATCAATAAGGAATATAATTAATAAATTAATTTTTGTATTAAAATATTTAAAACCCCCATCTTCATGATTTAAAAGAATTTCATTTTTTCTTGAAACTGTTTTATAGGTGAATGCAATGCCCAAGTTTGCTAAAGTATTAATACCTGATGTAGATGTACCAGTATTTGACATATATAGAGCTATTTGATTTTTGACTGAACTGATATGCTTGTTTCTAAGGCTAGCTATTTGGTAACAGAGAACCATTACTTTTCTTTTTAGGCTTATTTCTGTAGAGGAATTTTTTGTTAATGAAGGATCTCTTTCTTCAATCATTTTTACAAATTCATCGGATCATTAATCATTACATTTTTTTCATGATGTTGATACTTGTATAAAACAGAAGAAAGTCTTTTTATTTGGTTGTTAAAAAAATCAGAAAATTGCATGCCATCTAAAAATTAATTTATTTAATTAAATAAGTAATATTAAAAT